AAAAATATGTGATTGATAATAAAATAAATTATAATTTAATACCGGCCAAAGAGGGCCAAAAGGATAAGTGGGTGGGATCAAGGAGTCATGAGGTAGCTATTGAAGAACGTGCTATTTTTCAATATTAGGCTTATTGTGTGTTTGATAGATATTGTTGAATAAAGAATATATTTGAAATAGTGATATAATGAGAAATATATCGTTAAAAAGTAAGAAAATGTTATTGATGTGATGAAAATTATTATTTTATTCAAGAATGTGTGATTGAAAATGAATTTTAAAAAAATGTATTTCGAAAAAATGTGTACCAAACATGGGCTTCGATAAATTAGAGTTTAAGGGTTCGTTTGATTGCAAATGTGGAATTTGGATGGCAAGAAAATGCTTTACTTGGAATTGTAATTAATTGTGTTTGATTGATATAATTTTCCACTTGGAAAATGTTGCAAGTTTTGTGTCTGTTTGACTTTATTTTTCATGAAAATTGTCCATTAAAGTGATAATTTTTTTACCATTGGATCTATCATTTGTTCCAATTGCCAAAAAACAAAAAAAAGATTACAAAAAAATACCATACCGAATACCGTTCGTTTGACTTTATTTTGCATGGAAATTGTCAATAAAAGTGATAATTTTTTTTACCATTATGTCTAGAATTTTTTCCAATTGTCAAAAAATAAAAAAAAGAGAGACCTGAAAAATCAAAATCAACCAAAACAACAAGAAATCTTTTTCCTCCAAAAGTTGGAAAGTAGGCGAGTAGGTGGAGTAGGTGGAAAAAAAAAATTCGAACAAAATTTTTGCTATCAAACGGTGCAAAACTAGTTCCTTGGAAAATGTTGCCCATCAAATAGGGCCTAAGTTCTCACCGATATGCCCAAATTTATAAACAGAGATTTTAACGTCGAGCTTTAATTCTAGGATTAGAATCGAAAATCAAATCAATTCTAATTTATTTATAAATTAAGAAGAATGGATGCGCTTGATTTGGTTCGACTCCACCCCCTATTATGGATTGATAGAAATCAAACATGCTATAATGAGAAACGTCACTATGGATATTTATATTACCGCCTGATGAGTTAGTAAAAGTCTAAAATTGCTTACGCATCATTATGAGGACTTCTTCTTCCACCATTGCAAGCACTACAAGATTCTTATTTTCGAAGGAATAATAATAAAATAATGCATGATGCCCCTTTATATTGGGTAGTAGCTCAGTTGAGTTGCATCGCTCACTCCCTCCCTCGCCACTTTTCAATTCCAACCACTGCAACAACAATGGATTCCAAATTACATGTAGTGATGTTCCCATGGCTGGCTTTTGGGCATATCATTCCATTCTTTGAGCTCTCCAAATTCATAGCTCGAAAGGGCCACAAAATCTCTTTTGTTTCTACTCCAAGAAATATTGATCGTCTCCCAAAAATCCCTTCTCATTTAGCTACTTCCATAACCCTAGTTAAGATTCCATTCCCTAAGGTTGGACAACTCCCAGAATCTGCAGAGGCGACCATGGATATCAAAAATGAAGATATGTCTTATTTGAAGAAAGCATTTGATGGGATGGAAACTGAATTGACTCGTTTCTTGGAAGACTCAGCTCCCGATTGGATTTTATACGATTTTGCTCCACACTGGTTGCCTCCAGTTGCAGCAAGACTTGGAATTTCTCCTGCTATGTTCTTCATCATAAACGCTTGGTTTTTAGCTTTCCTTGGAGCAACAGATTCCATGATTAACGGTTCTGATGGGAGGAAAAGAGCAGAAGATTTTATGATCCCACCAAAGTGGGTCCAATTTGAGACAAAAGCGGCTTATAGACGGTACGAAGCAAACTGGATTGTCGCAGCAACTCGGCAGAATGAATCAGGATTTTCAGATTTTTATCGAACTGGTAAAGTAATTGAGGGGTCCGAAGCTATTTTCATAAGACACTGCAATGAGTTTGAACCAGATTGGTTGAAATTACTCGAAGAGCTTTACCATAAGCCAGTGATTCCAGTAGGTTTAATGCCACCCCAAGTAGAAGAAGATGACAGTCAATCATGGGTTTCGATCAAAACTTGGCTTGATAACCAAAATAAAGACTCAGTTGTTTACGTTGCACTAGGGAGTGAGGTGACACCGAGTCAAGATCAACTCAATGAGTTAGCTCTTGGATTGGAGTTATCTGGGGTATCCTTCTTTTGGGTACTGAGGAAGCCATCCGGCTCGGGCGAGTCCTACTCGGTGGTTTTACCAGACGGGTTCGAGGAGAGAGTTAAAGGGCGAGGCATGGTGTGGAAAAGTTGGGCACCTCAGTTGAAGATACTAAGCCATGAGTCGGTGGGTGCATTCTTGACTCACTGTGGTTGGAGTTCTTTTATAGAGGGACTCATTTTTGGTCTCCCCCTAATTGCCTTGCCTTTTCTGGTAGATCAAGGCTTGAATGCTAGAATCATTGCCGACAAACAGGTTGGGATAGAAATCCCGAAAAACGACGAAGATGGATCATATACTAGGAACTCGGTGTCGAACTCAGTAAAGTTGGTAACGATGGAAAATGAGGGAAAGAAATTTCGAGACAGAGCCAAAGAAATGAGTCCGATATTTGGAGATACAAATTTACACGATGGTTACATGGATAATTTCATTAGTTTTCTCGAAAATCATAGGATCATGTCAAGGGCTGCCACGAGCGAATAATTGCTATTCTGCAGCATTATTCATTATGCTGTATTTATGATTTGATGTTTTGCAATTGAGGGGTTGTTTGATGTTTTTATAAAAGTTAGCGACTTTCATGAAACATGGTTAAAAGTGAATAAAAGTGAGTACTGTGTGTTAAAGTTGAAATTTTTGTTCATATTGTATATAAAATTCATTAATCTAGTACAAAAGTCCATGGTAGAAATGATAAACGTTATAATTGAGAGGAAATTGAAAAAAAATCAATTCATTTGCATTGGGATTCTACAATCGCTGCATTTGATAAAGTCGAAAGACTTGTAACGATGAGTGTATCTTCGAGAAGCTATTTGAACTATTTTAGATATTCAATTTTTAAAAATTTAGAAATTCTTCGAATTAATATTTTAAAATAGAAAAAGTGAGTTTTGGCTCCCTAAATTTAGAGAGCTAAACCCAATTATAATTAAATGTATTCGAGATATTTCAATTTTTGATGTGCCATTTATTAACCTAACAAAATGGTATTCCATAAAAAAAAAAAACCAGTGGTCTCACACTGAAATAGTGGACTGTGACTCTCTTTTGGTGCAGTTGTGCTTCAAATGTGGAAGTCCCGAAGAACCCAGAATTATAGTTCAATGGAGGCGAGACAAAATTACGTAAAATATATTTTTAAATTATACAACTATCATAATATTTAAAATATAGTATTTTTTGACAGAACTTTGCTTCTTCAATCTCTTCTTCTTCTTTCCAAATATCGAGAGTTGATTTTGATACATTTTTGTATTGTTTGTTATTAGCAGCGAGCCTCATCAATGAAATGTGTTTTGACGAAAAAAAAAATAATAATTTCTTCCAGAGATAACACAATATTTTTTTTTTTGAATTTGAACAATATATGTCTCTAACATTTACAATGAAAGAACCAGATAGAATATATGTTGATATGAGAACATAAAATAAGAATAATTTATGTTAACTTAATTGACTAGAAATTTGTGCCTCTTCGATTGGCAAAGCTTAAGGTTGCTAACGTGTAATAAAATTAAACGAAAAGAGAAGTGTATACTGGAGAATTAAAATTCAAATTGAATAATATTAATGATAAAGACTTTATATTTATAATATGGGACAAGGATTACGTGAACAAAACTATCATCCATAATTATTTGTTCATGATTTTTTGTAATATTTGAGTGAGAAAAAAGATGATTACGACAACAATTATATAAATGACTTGATAGAAACTAGTAAGTAATGAATTGCGTTGTTTGACAATTTCTACGTGTCACAATTATAAAATGTTATATGTGTTCTAAAACATCCTTTATCAACATCTATATTGAGACATTTTATTCCTTAGATGCCTCGCCTACCATATTCTCTCGGTAAAACAAACTAATCATGGTACGTGAACATCGAAATTGACATAAAACTTAACATGATGTCATGTGTCATTTTATCATTAGACAATTTAAAATATAATCAAAGTTTTCATCCAATCATTTACTATTACATACAATTATATCAAATCCTTTTACCAAAGTAACTTTACCCAAAACAAAAACCCTTTCTCATGGCGTCAATCAATGGCTCTACTTTTGTAATATATAAATTGCAAAATATAGACACGATGAATCTCCAATTTTCTTCTTATTTAAAAAGAAAGAAATAAGTATTCTCTTTATTTGGGCAGTAACTCATTGATTTGAACACCTCACGCACAGAATTCCGAAGGCCGCAACAATGGATTCCGATTCCGGGGCCGAAAACACTAAATTGCATGTTGTAATGTTCCCATGGCTGGCCATTGGGCATATAATTCCATTCTTCGAGCTCTCTAAATCCATAGCTCAAAAGGGTCACAAAATCTCATTTGTTTCCACTCCAAGAAATATTGATCGTCTCGCAAGAAATTTTAAGGTCTTCACATCAATATGCTTGCTTCTTTTATGTACCACAAGATTTTGGGAGAGTTTGACAGTCAAGTTGTAGTCACAAAAAATTGTAGTAGCTTCTATGTTACAATAGTTGAACTGTCAAAGTCAAGGTCAAATAAGAAATTTATTGGAATAAATTATTTCCTTGGGGTTTGCTTTGCAATGGGTAAAATATGAGGTTTAAGATGGATGTGATTTATAGTTAGAGATTTACTTATGCATCAAATGATAGGTGGGGGACTTCCTTTGCAATTATCACTTGATGTCCTCATTAATTAGCGAAATCTAGACCATTTTAATTGTTCTTTTCTCACATTCCGGCAGAGAGCAAGAAACTGAGAAGAAAGAGACCGAAAAAGAGAAGAAGAAAATGGGAAAGAAGAAGAAAAGAAAGGGAAAAAGAGGAAGGACAAGGAAGAGGAAGGAAAGGATAATGAATTAAGTTGAAGATATACCCTAATTAGTTCAAGTTTTTGAGTGTTTGCCTTCCATTTACATCAAGGTGGTAACGAGGAGATTGGAAAAGTTTATCAGCCGTCTAGCTG